ATTTAGGGAGAAGCGAGGTGGCTATTTGGTCTCCTGAGTTAGCAGCAACTGTGCTTCTCCCTGCATTTTTGTTGCTGAGAACAAAAGGCACAGAAACCCAGCAGGTGGTTTGTTGGGTTTTTTTTACTGCTACACAAGAACTGGTTGAAGTTTTCTCCTAAATATGTAAATACATTATTGCCCTGTTCATTCAAAATGAGATTTTTAAAGGCTTTCTTCCCATCAAGAAATACTCCGAGAGGTGATGCAAAGATATTGCTCTTGGGGACAAAGAGGAGGGGATGGCAAAATGGGAGCCAAGCAGACTGAAAAGTCACCGATAACTAAGGAGGGAGCTGTCATGGACCTACCGGGCAGCATCACCCATCCCCAGGGCTGTACCAGCCAAACCAGGGCAGGGTACCAGCGTTTCAGCCCCTTCGTTGTGTACGTGTGCAGCTCAGCAGCCTTCCGAGAGCTGCCGTGGCACTGATTTACCCAGAGGGTCGTTGCTTTTTCCCCAGCTCAATCTGGGCATTACCAGGATTCCCCCCCCCACATATAGCACCTTCTTTGCAGCAGGAGGCAGACCCTCGGGTGTTGCTTTAAAACCGTTGGGTGCCCAGCTGGCTGCCGAAGATGCAATACACTATTTTTTCTGCCCTCTTGGGGAATCAGAGACCACCTTAACACCATGGGGAGAGTAATTTCCACCACCATTTATACGCCTGTTGCTTAAAAATTCAGGTTACTCCATTGCAAACTGGTTTTGACTGCTGTGAGCTCTGGGGGGTTGTCTCCAAGTGCAGCATCCATCTGCTATGTGTTCCTGCCAGCCTGGCTCGGTGGCATGCAAGCTAAACCCAAGCAAGGGGCAAAACCTGAGTGATGCTGAGCAGCTGAAATCAGCTGGAGCTCCAAAGTTTAGCATTTCTCAAGGTCCAGCCCTGCCTGAGCAGGGCTGGAATTAAAACACTGCTTTATTACGAGTGGAGAAGCTGGATGAAGCCCCCGGGGAAGGACAATGCGGGCAGAAAGGGCAAAGCCAGGCTGCCAAAGCACAGCCCCTGGTTTCAGCTGCCCGATTGCTCCCTGCGGAGCTCCAGCTTCAAGGACTCCTCTAACAGCCCTGTAACCAAACAACCCATGGCAGAGGACAAGTAACTTCGGTGCACAGTTATCCCTTGTAAAGACCTGAGTGCGTTTCAGACCATGCAAACCTGAATTTGGACCCGAGGACCCGAACAACCCATCACTGCAGGGAGCATGGCAGTGGAGAGCTGGCTTTGCAAGAGGCATGGAAAAAAAAAAAAAAGCCCTGGAGATGGATGGGGGGAGCCGAGAGGCCAGGATCTCTGCTCCCGGGGTCTCCACGAAGCCTGGCCACGGGCAGGGTCTCTGCAGCCGGAGCGTGTTGAAGGAGAGGGAGCGTTTCTGGCGGCGGTGGCTGGGGAAAGGGTTGTTCGTGCATCTGCTGGGCTGTTAACAGGTGGCTCAGGAGCGGGACTGCGCATTACTCAGCCCCTGGTTTATTTACTATTTGGCCCGAGCTCCTATCCGGCCGATCGCGAGCGGAGTGAACCCCATCGCTTTGCAGCACAGCTCTGTCCCTGCAGCAAGAAAGGCATTAACCCCCTCTGTCCCTCATCTTTGGGGACACCAGAGCGATGAGACATCACGGTGTCCAGCCTGTGCAGACCAAGGCTCCCCAGGATGGATGCTGGGTCTGGGAAAGGGTCCCCAACACTGACTGAACCCCAAAAATCAATCCTGCAGCCTTCGCCCCAGGGATTTACAGCCCCTACACAGCAAGGAAAGGTGGGGGACAGAGCCAAGGTCCCCCCACCCCATTCCCAGCTCTCTCCTCGCTCACCCAAGGTGGTCCCTGGTGTCCTGCGGCTGCTTGTCCCGGCAGAGCCAGTGGGTTGGGGGTGCAGGGGGGGACAGGAGGGGATGAGACGGGAGGAGGTAGAGAGGCAGCAGGGATGGGGACAGGAGGGAACAGAGGGATGCAGGGGCAGGGGGGACAGAGGACAGAGGGATGAAGGGAACAGAAGGATGGAGGGATGAAGGGGACAGAGGGATACAGAGAAGGGGGGGACAGAGAACAGAGGGATGAAGGGGATGGAGGGGACAGAAGGATGGAGGGTTGCAGGGGCAGGGGAGAAAGAGGATGGAGGAATGAAGGGGATGGAGGGGGGATCAAGGGGATGGAGGGGGGATCAAGGGGATGGGGGGGGGAGCAAGGGGGTGGGGGGGGGCGC